ATGACAGAATTCAGAAATAATACCTACCTTTTTGATTGTCATCCTTTATCCCAGTCTGAACAAATTAAATAAGGTAACAAAAATCACTACTTTATTTTAAGCTGATTTCTCAAAATGTCCTTTGTACTTAGTGCTATATTTTACAGTGGGTTTTTCTGTTATTTAAATGAGGACTATAAGAAGCTTATAAAGAATTTTCTAGGAAAGTTTGATATGGGGATGCAATTATTTTTTCTGCTTCAATATTTTGTCCAATGAAATGTTAAAAGTCCAGTTTAAGTAAGTGATCAGACAAGCACAAGCCTGTCTGCACTGAGTTTTTCATCAGTGTTAGAGAAAAGAAAATAAACTTTGCAATGTGTACCTTTAAAATAAAAAATAGTCCAACTTAGACATGTAAATATTTTACACGATTAATCATGCAGAATCTTTAAATAAATATGAATGCTGCTTCAATAATTAATCCCAAATTGAGAACAAACTTCCAAATAATTCAAAACTTTAAGTGAATTTTTGGTAATAATATAACTTAAGGTTTATATTAAGAAGAAAGATACTAAATTTTATTTGTTCCCTGTAAGTTGCACAACTTACTTATACAGAAAAAAAGAGAATTTCATTTTAGTATAGCCTCACATCTCTTGTAATTTATGATGAAAACTATGATTGTGCTCAAGGAAAAGGAGGGACAATTGAATAAATAAGATCAGAATTTATCTTCATTTCAACACCCTGCTCCACTCTGTTTTTCCTTTTCTTCCTCCATCCTTTCCTTCAACTTTTTCTCCCTGAAAGTCTTCTACCTCTTTTTCTGATCTATATGACAAGACTCATGATGACCTAGAGCATTCACCCACACTGTTTTTCCAGTGGCTGTGGTAACTTGAGAAATAGCACACTGACAATAAGTCCTGAATTCACCATCTTCTTAGAAGGTCATAGTTTGAACCAGCATGAGACACTTAGCACCTTCTGAACAAATCACCTGGCACTAGAAGTGCACAGGAATAGGTGTGTGAAAGGCATCACAGTGTCACTTGTGTAGCTAGAGATTATAATTCCCAAAATTGGGGAGTCAGCCTCTGGGAAAGAAATTCTGTGTCACTATTCTATGAGTTAACTTAATGCTACTAAATTAACTCAGGGATAGATGACACCATTTTGTGACCCTAATTTGTCCCCTCTGCACCTCCATACTTTTAGATGAATAGGTCAGTACTACTTGACTCACCAAAAATCAGCAACTGGGTCAAGTTAGGATGAGGACTGCTTGATTCAGAGTTTGGATTTATGAAGCATTCCAACTGTACTTGGCACAACTGAATGAGTACACTTTGGGAAGCTGCCAAAATGTGCAGAGGATCTTTGGCAGAAAAGAAAAAAAAAAAAAAGATAGATCACATCCATGGGCATTAAATTTGATTTGAAGAGAACAGTATGGAGGAATGTTTTAAAAGGGTTAAATGTCTCTGTCACAAACTGGGATATTAAGCTTTAAGATATTGATTATGATTTGAAGACATAGGCCACACTCTAAATTCTGAAATAGTGGCAGAAAAGCATGCTCTAATAAAACACCAGAGTAGGATCAGAAACTCCACAGCAGAGCTGCTAAGAACAAGAAAGTAATAACAAGTGGACAGATTATCCTGCAAAGCATCAGACTTGAACAGAGTTGGGGTGAATAAAATATCAGTGTTCATGACCACAAAGCAGAATCTCAAAGGCCCTGCAGATACCAGCAACATTCCATCTAACTTAGAGATTTTGAAGCATAAAGAATACTTAGAGACTTTTTTGGGCCAAACTCCTCATTTTAGACATGTTAAATCAGAGTTAGACACAGGTTAGTATTTAGGACTAGGTCTCATAATGTTGAGGATAGTACTGTTCTTCAAAGATAAAATTTGAATTCAGAATGAAAGAGACAAATAATCTGCTGGAAAAGATGACATTAAGTAAATTCATCCAAGAGTGCTTGATCAAATAAGGCCTTTTTATCAGCATTCTTTTCTAGTTTAGTAACAAATATTGTAAGTATTTAAAAGTCATAAATAAAGGAAGTGTTGTTGTCAACCCTGAGAATTTATGATTTAATAAAATTGGTGAAAACCACTCAAGCAGTTGATTAAAAAAAATAGTGACTTTAGAGCTAAAGAGCTTGTGTCAATCTCTTGGCAATGGGGTCACACACCAAGAGAGAGAAGGAGGGGGTGGAGAACAGAGAAGAAAATTGTTTTATTTTTCTGTGATAAAGTGTCACCCTGGAAAGGAATTGCCCAGCAGTCAGGATGACATTTCTCAGCTCCACCTGCATGGTGACCAGAGTAACAATAGAAGCGATGAGTGTTCTACTTGTAAACAGTGCATTGATTAACAAATGGTGTGAATGTGCTTTCTCTGTATTTTTCTCCTGTCTATTGCCTGGTAGAATACAGATCTAAGACCCTAAAGCAAACTACAATTAAGAAGAAGTATAGATTCTTACCTCACAGTTTAAAAGACAGTATTTCATAATTCAGAAATGTCTGCAATGCCCTGTCACATGAGCAAGGAATAAGTAGTAATGTTAAACTATGGAAAGTTTGGGGGTTATTTATTAAAGCTGTTAAAATTATCCAATTTGATATACCATTTCCTTATGTAGATGCCATATGAGGGTATGTTTGAAATGTGTGATAATGGGACAAGTTCCTAAAGTCATATGTCTGAATAAAGTGGGTCTATTAGAAATGCATAATGCACAGAAATTGCAGTCCTTAGCATCTTTCTAGTTGCACCAACATTTCTGTAGAGCTTCAGAGCTGCTCTGTCTCTTTGCATATCAGAAGACAAAATTTTACACTAAAATAATGATTTGTTCTTTGATTCAAGCCATGGGATCAAATTATATTATTAGAATGAGATTTCCAAAGAACTACTGGGAATTTCGTAAGTGGATCTTTCTAACAGACTGCTCTAAGTCATCTCCTTCAGGGCTAATGCAGCCTAATTTGTTTGTGCCAACAAGAAAATATCAAAGAAGATGACCAAACCACTGAAGTATCCCAACAAGAGAAACAGTCTCAAAGGACATTATTATAAGGAAAGAAGCAGAGAATATCAGATCAGAAGAAAGCCATAGATATAACGTGATCATCATGCCTAGCTCCTTCATTTTACAGAAAAAAACTAGATTTTTGTTTTAATGTTACTGTGCTAATGCATGACTTAAAATTCTGAGCTCTGACTTTAATCTAGAGGGTTTTCCACAAAGTTTCTTAACTTTGTATCAAATTTGAATTCATCACGGATCTAACTGTTTTTTAGGGGTCTCTTGTCTCCTTGTGTCCAAAATTGTTATCATCTACCAGTTTAAATACACAGAGCACTCAGCATAACAGCTCTAATGATACAAGATTTATAGAACAATGTTTGTCTTCTAAACTGTAACTATAAAGAAAAGTATAACTGGATTTCACAACAAATGTTCCTAAAAATAATGTAAAACCCTTTTGCTTTTAAGTGGAAATTATAGGTATACATATACTCTGTCTTGACTACGCTGTCTTGACTCTCTTGGTCCATAAAAGTTTCTAAAAATTTTTTGATCCTCTTATCATTCTGCAAAATATCCTGCTTGACCATCATATTGACATTATGCTAAAATTCTCTGCTTAGAAAAAAGTGATAAGTATTCCAGAGGCCCTAGTAACGTACAGAACACAGCAGAAGGCACATATACCTGTAAAATTCAGATACTTTATTTTGAAATTCCACTAATCTAGTATGATATCTCATTTAAGAAAAAAGACTAGTTATTTAAGACTATGCTCTTTTTCCTTAAGAGAGGCTTAAGTGGCTCAAAGGTTGCCAGTCTCATGTATGTTTGGATTTGTTTTTAAGTTCCGTATTTTGTTTCACTAATCAAAATCTTTATTCCTGGCCAATACTACACTGCCTGTTACTTAATAATGTCTTGATATCTAGTTGAGTAACCCACATAAATACTGTTTTCTAGAAAATCTCTGGCAGATTTAGGCCTCTTAGGAGTCTATATAAATTTGAGCATCATAATGTCCTTTAGGAATTCTGACTGAAATATTACTGAATCAATATATCTATTTGAGGAGGAATTAAATATTATAAAAATAAGCTTTCTATTCATGAAAATGTCATACATATTTATCTGTATTTCTAAAGGTTTCTCAATAAAATTATCTTATTTCCACAATTTCTGTCACATATTTTGTTGGACTTTTTATAATTTTACCTTCATTATAAATAGCATAGGTCTTTTTGTGATTTAGGTTTCTTCTTCATTCATATATGGAACTAAAATTTTGTATATTAACCCTATAGCCAGCTTCATTTCTTTAGTGTTTATAATAAATAGATTGGATACTTAATATTCATTTTTATTTTCTTTATAAACATCACATGTTCTAAGAATAAGATGTATTTCCAATTTTATAACTATTCCTAATTCTATTAATTATTCATGTACTTTGATTTTAACCTTTAGAGTCTAAGGCATCTAGTAAAAAGCTGAAAACATACAGGCATATTCAGAATTTTTTAAGAATTTTTTTTACTTCATGAGTATTTTGTAGCCTACTTTTTATTAGATAGAAATGACCTAGTTTTACAACTATTTTAAGTATCAACAGGTGTTGAAATTAATATGTTTGCACATTAAGATGTAAATATAGATTTTAATATTTATTAATGGAATGATTACATTCCTTATATAAAAATAATTGATCTTTATTTGTGCCATTTTCAACTTGACTGTTTTAAAGGCTTTTTTATGTCTGGTAACAATTGAGATTGGTTTCAAGATTATTCTGATCTCACAGAGGGAACTGAAGAGTAGTTAATATATTTTACCATTTTCTAAATGAGATAAGTTAAAAATTGGAATCATTTCCCTTCAAAGATTTATAGCTGTATTAGTTACGAGCGTTGCTGAGACAAAATATCTGATGCCCAAGTTGGGAAAGGAAAGGTTTATTTCTTACAGTTTTTGGAGGTTTAAATCCACACTCAGTTGGCTCCAAGGAAGGCCGGCATGGCTGGGCTGCCTTTCATGGAGGCTGCAAACAGCAAGTCAGAACTGGCAAAGAGCAAGATACACCTTCTTCCTGCCATTACATCACATCCTGGCTCCACCCCTAGGTGGGTGGAGCACTGACACCATCAACCCAGGCACTAGACAATGAACCCATCACAAATACACAATGCAAACTCATGAGGCCTGGGGGACACAGCCATAAACCATGACAATAACATTCACTGAAAAAACCACTAGGGTAGATAACTTTATGTGAAACTATTTTTATTACCAGTTTTATTTTTGTGCAGTCATTCTGAGACTATTTAGGCTTTTGTCCCTGGTGCTAGGGTTTGAATCTTTGGTCCTGTGCATGCTGATCATACCTTCTAGCACCCAAGCTAGTTCTATTCCTATTTATTTTTATTTTTATTTTGAGGCAGGTTCTCACTGAATTGTTCAGGCTAACCTCAAATTGTAACCATCCTGTGCAGGCTATTGAGTAGCTGAAATTACAGATGTGCATCATCATGCATGATGTTGTTTCATCTTTAGTCTGCTGTAACAATTTGGCTTTCTAAGAATTTGTGTATTTGGTTCAAGATTTCTCATTTATTAATGTCAGGTTGTTCACGGTAGTCCTAATTAGATTTTACATCTTTGTTCTATTCCAATTATGCCATGTTTTATTGCTAATATTATTCATCTATAAGAGGATTACCTATTTTATTAGTCTCCTGAATAAACAACTGTTGACTTTTTAATATCTGTGGTATTGTTATTTTCTAGTTGATTATTTTCTAATTATTTATTTATTGTCTTTCTCTACCTTTGGGTTTGCTAATCTTCTAGCATAAACAATTATAACTAGTATAAAATTTCTTCTGTATTAACTCTCACTTTACTCAACAAGTTTCAATTTGTGATTTCTTCTACTCAGTTCTAATTTTATTTTATTTTGTTCTAACTCATTATGATTTTATGATTATGAGTTATTTACAGGTACATTTAATTTGCAAGCATAAGAAATATATAGAAATCATTACATAATCATGAGGGTAAAAGATTTTTCTCAGCATGATAAAGGAAAATACAAAGTCTAAAACAGACTTCAGTGCATCAATTTAAACTTCATAAGAATAATAAGAAATTGGCCAGGTATGGTGTTTCCAACCTGGAAATGCAGAGGCAAGTTCAAACTCAGCCTGAGAAATTTAATGATACCCTCTTTCAAAATAAAAAATAAGGATTTAAGATGCATTGCAGTACAAAAGCCATGAATTCACTTCCAAGTGCAAAGAAGAGAATGAACAGGAGGAGGAAGGAGAAAGATAGAAAAGAAAGTAGAAAAAGGAGGAAAAGAAAAGAAAAGTTATAAGGAAGGGAGAAGAGTATTTGTCCATAATAATACTGAAAGTTTTGGGGAAATTGGAATGATAATTATAAAATATAAAGATCAATATCTTTAATATATCAAAATTTTAAAAGCCAAAAAGGCCATGCTTAATAGAAAATTGAGTAAAATGTGAAAATTCCTAACTCTAAAAATGTGTATTTCAATAATTTAGAAATCATACTAAAATGTACATTCACTACAGTTTATCTGCTCAAATTAGAAGAACCATTAAAAATGAAACTACTTTAAAAGTGTTCATATATTAGTACCATTGGTTCTCATTATCTAGTGGCTGTCCACTAGCAGATTCACCCAACCTTGAACTGAAAATATTACTAAAAGAAATCATATCCATAATCAACATGAACAGACATTTTCCCCATCTTTATTAACTAAACAACACAATAGAAGAACAGTTTATATAAAATTTACATTGCATTATATGAGTCATCCAAAAGTGATTAAGTGTACCAGAGGGTGTGTGTAATTTATACACAAGTATTGTGCTATTTTATATACAAGATTTGAGCATCTACAGATTTTGTTACTACAGGGATCGGATGTCAATCTTTTGTGGGTATCAAGGGATGACTGTTTTTGATGGGTAATGATTATTTTCTGTAAGTAAATTTAGTAATATGTGTATATGTTCACATCTTGACAATTTATGTAATTTCTAAAATAATAATCATAACTACACAGAAAAATAGCAGGACTTAGGGAAGATTTTATTTGTAAGAATACAGTATTTAAAATCCATAGAGTAATTATGTGTTCTTAAAATTAAAAGCATTTTGCAATGTTGCACATTTCTCTGAAATTGGCATTCAAAGTCCTATCTGAATGACTTTATCAAAATTTATTCATCATTAGCATAATTCAACCTCAATAGCAATTTTCATTTTTGTTTCAAATTTTTAGCCTGTTTTGTGATATATGTGTAAATTTACAAAGTTGTAAGTTCTAAGTGAATAAAATCTATTTATCTCTAATCCTCTTGTCTTCCATAGTTTATGTCTTTTAAATGCCTAATATTTAGTCTGTATTTTTATCTTTTTTAATCTTTTGAATGAATATTTTCCTATTTTAATATACTACTTGTGGTAGCATAAAGCTATGACTATTGAAATTCCCTGAATATCTATTTTTTTACTAGTAACCCTAGTTCTTCATATTTATAATAATTAGTGATATTTTAAAGTTCTTTTTATTTTATCTTTTTTAAAATTTATTTTTGTTCTACTTCTGGAGGAATAACACAGTATTTGTTCTGAGAATGCATTTCTTAATCTGCCTAATTGTGTATATCTATGCCTCACACTTTACTTCTTTATAAAATATAGCAATGATAAAGCCATAAAGTTGTGGAAATTATTCAATTAGTTATGTATAAAGTGTTTAATAAAATATTGGAGGAAGGGAATCAGAATCAATGTATCCTTCACTACCTTTTATTTAATGTTTGCTTGTTTTATTTTCAACAATTTCTTCCCATTAATTTGAAATGTAGATACCTAGTTTCTTTCTTTCATTGGTCACTCTTGAAATTTTTCCATGAACAATTAACCTAACAAGGGTAAAAAGCAAGATTATAACTTTCTAGAAAATAGTATTTGTTTCTCAAAAGCAAGACCCATACAACTTTAATACAAACCCCCATCCACTGACACACGTAGAATTTTTGTTTAATATTTTACTTATGTCTTATGAAAGTCTTAGTGATTGAAGTTTAAAAATTTTTACATAAATATTAAATATTTAGATGAGAGCTCTTATTTTTGTTTTAACATTAATATTCCATTTTCTTCTTGTTGTATTTAAATACATGCAGTGATTCCAATTCTCCTTAGTCTGTATTGTATTTTACTGTTTTTCAAAATTTATGAGACAAACGTAATTATAAAACATAACATAGACTGGGTTAAACGTGCAGTTCAGTGAGTGCTGACAAATGCATACATCCACGTAACAAGAAGTCCCAGTATCATCTTCTTAGAAATTTTTCTCTGAACCTTGGCAACCACCTTTCCTCCATGACTACTGGTCTCATCTATATCAGCACAAATTAATTTTGCTTGTACTGGAACTTCACAGCAACTGAATGAAACTTTATATACTACTGTATACTTAGTACTTTCACTAGATAAATACCTATAATAAGCACCTATATTCTTGAATATATCATCCATTTGCTTACTTGTACTGCTAAATTCTCTACAATTGAGCAAATTACTAAAATTTTTTCATCAATCCATCTGTAAAACACTTTCTTATTTCCAGTTTCTGGTTATTTTAGATCAGTTAATTAAGTGTATTAAATGTAATTTTTTACATTTCACTTTTGATTTCACTTTTATTGGGTAAGCTCTTAGAAGTTGAATTATTGAGCAATCTAGTAAATACATCTTTGCTTACAGGAAATTTTGGACTGGGCCTTTCTTTTCTGTTAATATCCTTGCCAGATTTCATTATTACCTCTTGCCTAGTTATCACTTTCATAAAGTTAATTACAGAACTGTTCTGTCCTCTATTTTGAAAGCAGTGGGTATAAAAATAGACTTTATTCACTTATTAGGACTTACCAATGTGTTCAAGTTGGAGTGTTCTTGCCAGGAAGACATATTTTTGTAATCAAATTACTTTATTATGTAAAGACTTTTCAGGTTGTCTATATCGTTTGTCAATTTTGGTAAACTGAGCTTTAAATAAATTAGTTGATTTTTGTCAAATTTATGTCTTTAAATTATAGATAATATTCTCTTATTTTTTCATATTCTTAAAAGATCTGGAAGATATGTGTGATACTGCCAATTTATTCTTTACATCAGATTTTTTCTCTTATTCTTCTTCAAATTTATGCTCAGTCACACACACACACACACATACACATAGAGAGAGAGAGAGAGAGAGAGAGAGAGAGACAGAGACAGAGACAGAGACAGAGACAAAGACAGAGACAGAGAGACAGAGAGAGAGAGAGAGACAGAGAGAGAATTACTTTATGGCCCAGAATACGGTACATCTATGACTATTGCCTGAGTACTGGAATAGAAAGGGCAATCTGAATTTACAGAGTGTAATGTCAAGTTCAGATCTATATCCTTACCAGTATCTCACTTACTTAATCATTCTGTTTCACAAAGCAGAGAAAAATCTGTTTTGCTTTATAGTTTTAAGGCACTTTTATTAGCCAATAAGCTTAGGATTTAAGACTTTTTCATTTTCCTATTGGCTTTATTCTTTTAGAAGTATAACAATCTTCCCTCTATCTCTGATAATGTTTCTTAACATTTTCTTAGTCTGATTTAAATTTATTTCATTGTTTATATACGTCATGACTTTTATGTACTTAAATGTTTACACGGTGTAAATTTGCCATGCTTTTATTATAAAACTAGATGTGTCTTTACATTTTACAGTAACACTTTAGGAGATTACATTTTGTTAGATTTTGTATTTCTTAAAGTATAGTGATCTCTATGTTTTCATAGGTGCATTGGTTCATTTATATTTAATGCATTAATATACATTTTGGGGTATTCCACTTATTTTCTACCTGTGCTATCTACTGTCATCTTGCTGTTTCTCTTTTACTGCTTTCTTTTCATATATTCTCATATATAGGCAAAAATGCTGGTTATTATGAATGGTCAAGAGTAATCAGTCTGATCAGTGTCTTTTTTTTTTTTTTTTTTAAGTGTTGAGCTTTGTTTTAACAGAATGTGTCTTTGTTAGTATCTTTATTCTGGTGAGGTTAGATTTTTCTTGAGGGCTACATAACTCTCAGACATGTTTTTACTCCTAAGGTATCACCTTGTTGATTGATCAGCTGGATGCCCAGGATACAAGCAAGCTCTTTACATTCTAATTTGGCCAGTTTTTTTGAAACTGTGAAAGGTTAGCTTCCCTCTCAATCTCATTAGCAGC